TTGTGGACCGACAGCACGATAGTGCTCGCCTGGGTTCGAGCGCGACCAAACGAACTAAAAACGTTTGTCGCAAACCGTGTGGCCAAGATTCAGCATATTACGGGGAACATCGATTGGAACCACGTGCCGACGGATGAAAACCCTGCGGATCTGTTGTCAAGGGGTGTCACCGCGGATGTGCTCGAGGAAAGTGAGCTCTGGTGGCATGGGCCTCCTTGGCTCGTGAGCAAGAACCAGATGCCAGAACATACGGAAGAGCCGGAGGTTGAACCTCCTGAACGAAAAACTGCACCTGTCACATTGATAGCGATCAAAAACACGGATTTATGGACAAGACTTCCGACGTACTGCAAGCTTCAGCGGGTAATTGCTCAATGTCATCGATTTAATCGAATAAAACGCTAGGAAAGGGAAACACCGGCGTAATTAAACTCGAGGAACTGGAGCGAGCAGACCAGACGATAATAAGGATGGTGCAACAGGAAATGTTTTCCGAAGACCTTGCCGACTTGAGAGGCGAACGACAGCTGTCAAGGAAAAGTAACTTGCGATCTCTGAACCCCTTCCTGGATGAAGAGAATTTGATACGGGTAGGAGGAAGACTTCGACACGCGAGTATACCAGACAATCAGAAGCATCCTATCGTGCTGCCAGCAAGGCATCGAGTGACCAATTTAATTATGCGCGAGGAGCACTTGCGCCTACTGCATTGTCCGCCCGAGCAGCTTCTTAACGCGGTGAGACAACGTTATTGGCCCTTAAGCGGTCGAAGAGAGGCACGCAAGATAGTGAGAAGCTGTGTGAGCTGCTTTCGGTTTCGACCGACAGTTCCTGAATTGAAGATGGGAGATCTGCCCAAGCAGAGAGTGACCGGTCTCGGCAGACCATTCAGAAGTACCGGTGTTGATTATGCGGGCCCTCTACAGCTCCGTGAGAGTCGACGCCGAGGAAGAATCCACATCTCAAAAGGCTATATAGCGATATTTACCTGCCTGAGCACTAAGGCGGTTCATATCGAGCTTGTCTCAGATATGACAACGGAGGCATATTTAGCGGCTTTAAACCGTTTCACAGCCCGTCGCGGGATTTGTTCGGAGATATTCTCAGATAATGGGACAAATTTCGTGGGAGCGGCTCGAGAATTGAAGGAGGTGTACACGTTCCTGAAGAGGAAGGGCTCAGAAATAGAAGACAACCTGGCTCGTCGGCGAATAAAGTGGAGCTTCATTCCTCCACACGCCCCGCATTTCGGGGGCATTTGGGAGGCGGCGCACAGTGGGGCGAATGTCTCATTTTTCGGTCATTTGCTTATAACTTCTACATTTTTTAACGGAATAATTTCAAATTTGGCTTAAAATAATGTACGATTTGTGTATTTTCAGTGTATAAAATCAAAATTATTTAATTGACATTTATTGTTTAATTGATAAAGCACATAGGTAAATAATCATTTGTAACGATGCACCCCGATAAACGCATCGTTCCCGGCAAGCGCCGGATGCCGCCGAAAAACCGGGCGAAGGGTGAGCGCACGGGGCGTT